AGCTGAACAACCTCACAGGCCTTCTGTAGCTCTGATTTCTGTGTCCCAATGAAAATCATCACCCCCAATGAGAAGCAGATGTTGCCGGGAGAGACAATGACAGCGAGGTCTCATCTCCTCCCGGCAGCACCCACCGAGCTCCGGTTGCCACCTCTTTTTCTCCCCCCACTTCCTCACTCCGTGGCAGCTGATGGATATTTATAGCGCTCTTCTTCAGCCTGCCAATTATAATTATCAATATCTCCACTGATACAAAAAAAAGGAGACACCATCCGAGCCGGGCACAGTATGTGATAAGCCAAGTTTGAGCTGAAAAATGGAAACAGTTTCTTCCAATTATGGACAAAAGAGAGGTGCGTTTGATGGTGGGGCTGGCATCTAAGCTGTGTTGATGGGACCACGGGGGACAATTTTGACGCCCTGGAAAGCGTGTGTGTGGAAGAACAGCAAGGTGATGGTGACTACAGGAATGGTGGGATAGACAGTGCCATCTGTACTGTATGGAGCAAGAGAGTTGCTTTAAATGCAATAAATAAAAGTGAAGTCTTCCACAAGGCAGCGCAGCTCAGTAATTGCTGTTTTGGAACTCACGTCTCTGCAGTTATCTAACTCAGCGCTTCAGCTCCAGCTGCAGCAAAAGTTTTGCCAAATATAGATAAATGAAGTTAAAGTTATTGGCAGCCGCGGGTTCTGTGTCCCTGTTTTGAGTTGATAGATTTCCTAGGGATGGCATCACTTCGCTTCGGCGGCAGAGGTTTGTTCTCCGGCAAGGAGAACTTTTTGGATGGACCGGTCTCCATGCCCTGGGTTGACGCTGGAGGATTTTGTATCAGAGAGTTCTACGGTTAGTGGGAGTGGGTCCCTCTCCCGCTCTGGGTCAGCTGAAATGTGGAGATGGAGGGAGGACAGGCTCTTTTTTTCTTAAGAGAAGAAAAAGACACAGAAGAGAAAAACAAAAAGCACAAGAGATAAACAACAACAACAACAAAGCCAAAACAATATCAATATAGGTTTTCAAAACAAGATGATAGGAATTTAACAGCGGTTGTAATATTGCATATTGTTACCTTAGATTACCAGAAACAGACCTGCAAAATTGATCTAATCATGTGAGCACTGACTGTTCTTCAAGAGCTGAAAGAATTAGTAGCACAGTCCTTTTAGCTATCTTATATATGTATGTACAAGTTTATGGGAGGACCAGTTCTTAACCCAACTTATGTGCTTTAGGTTTCCAAAGCTTAGAGAAATCTCCACGAGGCACCTTCCGGTTTCCCTATGAGCTCCGCTCCACCCCATCACTGCTCCCCAACTCACATCACCCCTGGGGCATTTGCTTCTCACCTTCTGTCCCTGGTGAAATCAGGAGTCACAGCAGCGCCTGTGAGGCTGCCTCTCCCGATTACAGAGTGAGGCGTGAAGGATGCTCCCAGGATTCGGAGCTCAACCTGGCACAGCTTCCTTTCCCTTCTAAGGCCCATGGCCCCTAATTTCCTCTTGCTTGCCTTTGGCAGGGCACAAATCTTAGCCTTTCCAGAGGAAGTGGACCCCAGCACCAAGGGCCTGCTGGTGAGAAGTGTGGACTTGGCAGCTTCCTCCGGGTGACAGGGGTGGGTGGGCGTCCCCCTGCGTCCCGAGCACATGGTGTCTCCTGCACCCGCCATGGTCCAGTCACCTTCCATACATGCTCAGATCCCAGCCATAACAACTTTATACACAAAAAAGGGCTGAGAAAAACAGAAACAAAGTACAAAAGCAACTGTTCACTTCAAAATCGCTTTCCTTTGTAAAGGTTAAAGCACAGAGATTTTCTTATTAGGCAGCTAATGATGGTGTTTTTGGGGATCCAACTAATAATGTCTTGTTCTCTCCTGATTTTTTAGAGTCTCACAGCCAGTGTGGTGGCTGGAAGGTTGGCCCACATCACCACATATTGGTTTGATCTTTGGGCCCTCACTGTACCAGTTTTGATAAATACATTTGATGTATTTTAAATCTATAAATACACATGCATGTCTCTTATAAATTCATATAGTGCTTGCTAAATTTTACAATCTTAAAAATTATTGTTTTCACAAATTTGCACAAATTTAATATTTTGTTCTCATAAAATAAAGTTAGCTCCTTTTCTTTTTTTTCGGTGCTAATGACTGAACCTGAAGCTTTCATAGCGAGATACACTTGTGGCCCTTTTTATTTTTATTTTTGAGCTAGGTTCTCCCTAAGTGACAAAGTGGCTCAGCCTGGCTTCAAAACTGTGATTTTCCTGCCTCAGTTGAGCCTGGCTTCAAAACTGTGATTTTCCTGCCTCAGTTCCCCAGAGTGTCGGGAGCACAGGCTTGTACTACCATGCGTGAGGCAGTGTTTTAAAGGGTGCACAAAAGCATTAAAAACCCCTGTCCTTGTGTATGTGTAGCGGGGTAGGGCTTCCGGTCCTTTGGAAGTGAGTGAGTGAGCATGTGGGCACTTGTCTGGTCCCAGGAGTTGGGCCCTCAGCCACAAGCAAATTCCTGCATCCCCTGGAGGCCCTGGTGTGGTGAGAGCAGTGATCACAGTGAGCACACTGTTTTCAGACATCCTTAGATGACAGGCAGTGTCTGACTTGGGCCTCATGCTTCTCTGCCTCCCCACCCTAAAGCCAGGAGGTCCATGCCACCATGATCCCAGCCTGCTCCGGAGCTGGGGGGATTGAACCCAGCCAGGGCCTGCACACTGAGCTATATGTCTAGCTTTTTATTTTTCAGTTGGAGATAGGGGCTCGCTGAGTCACCCAGGTTGGGTTTGAATTTGAGATCTTTTTGCCTCAGCCTCCTGAAACGCTGGCACTCCAGGAGTTCATGCTCACTCCTGGCTATTACAATGCCAGTTTTTCGCCACAGAGAGAAAGACATGTGAAAAGGGAGTCACAGTGTATGCTTTGGGATCTTTCTTTTTGCAGAAAAAAATGGGGATGTGGAATTCTTTATTCCACCTCAGATAGCTCCATGCTTTTAGTTAGAGCGTGCTCAGTGTTAGGGAGAAGTGTGACAGCAGGGGCTGCTCCCACACCCAGAGACTGGTACAAATGTCTCTGCTGCTGTTGGGCTTCACATCCAGTCTGCAAATTCCTGTCACTGTTGCCCTTGCTACCTCCAATTCTGCTAGCAGGCCTTCTGCCCAAATCTGGGCACAGCCTAGAAAGGACAGGTAGAGAAATGTAGGACAGAAGGGTTCCAGGAAGCCCAGGTATTCCTCATTATTTCCAGAAGCCATGAACTCCACTCAGATGGGAAACACCTCACTTCACGTCAGGCAGATATAGGTGTTCAACACATCTCTCAGCTGGCTCCTTCTCCCGGCTGGAGGGACCCACCCAGCTGAGACCAAGACAGTGCAGTTAGTGTGTGTGGGTGGAGAGCTTGGAGCAGGGGCTTTGAGGCAAGGCCTTTCCAGCCGATGGTGCAGAATGGATCAGGGCATCCTGGGAACCACGTGTATTGCTCATGGGCCGGGTGGTATAGGCTGGTAAAATGACATATCCTTTATTCAGTCCAGAACTATGTACTCCATGTTTCACAAAAGTTAAGTCAATTCGTTCTTTGAATGACCCATTGAGATGTGTAGGACAAGGTTTGTTTTCCAGATGAGGTAATTGAGGATAAAGAAGCAAAAGCACTCCAGCCAGGTGTGGTGCTGCATGCTTGTAACCATGACATTCATCCTGGGAGACTGAGGCAGAAGGATCTCAAGTTTGAGCCCAGCTAAAGCACTGAGTGTCTTATCGAGTCCCTTAGTGTCTTAAAAGAAAAATAAAGTGGAAAAGGGGTGCAGATGTAGCTCAGTGCAGAGGCCCTGCATCCAATCCCTGGCACCAAAAAAGAAATAAAGAGCGAGTACCCGGATTACGTGAGGTAAGCAGCGGAGCCTGGGTCTGAGGTCTTCTTGTTTCCGCCACTGTTCAGGGCTGAGGTAAGCTGTATTGTGAGGTACATGCATGTGCCCAGCTGGCTTTCATGCCCAGTGTACTAATGTGGGCCCTGGTCTTCCTGTACCAGTAACAGCTTCTGCATCTGAACATAGAGGAAACTGCTAGTAAGAGCAGGGCTTGGGGTCACTCAGTAGAAGCGGACGCTCTGCCTCTCCTTAGAGAATATGTGACATGAACTGTCCCTGTCCAAGCGATGGCTGGGAGAAGCCCTGGACTCACTGGGGCCTGGGCACCATGACGCTTTGTACCCTATATAGCCCAAGGCTGTGCTGTGCCCTTTGGTTTGTTTTATGCTGTCTTGAACTATCTGGCAAGTTCTTCCTTTGCTTTTCATGTGGAAATGGCCTCGAGGGAACAGAAAACCCACAGATTCCTTTGGAGGTCTCTCCTCCCTTTCCTATTACACTGGAATGTAGGCGTGAAAGGGTTGCAGCTCCACTGAGCTCTGAGCTGCCCACTCTGGCTCTGTGTGAGTCTCTGCCGCTCCTGGCTGTGTTCACGAATGAACAATGCAGTCAGGACTGGGCTCACACACTCGCCTGAGCATTGACAAACCTAGCCAACCCGGGATCTGTTGGGAGCGGAAGCGCTTCTATCTCACACTTACCCCATCCCCATCTCCTCTGCTGTTTCACGCCTCCACCTTTCTCCAAAGACTAACAGCAAAAACATGCGCTGCCTTCTCCCCTCTGACCCCTTCCACCCAAGCCAGGGCTGTGTGCGTTTCAGAGGTGAAACACCCCTCCTCACATGGAGCCAATGCACACTTCTGAATAAATATGCTGTGCAGGAGCCTTGGGATGGTCTCACACAGCCCTCGCCTTGTGAAATGACACACTGCACCTTTTCCTTTCCAGCCAAGCCCGGCAGGCTCCGTCTCAGCACCAAATAAGGAGCAGGCGCTCAGGCCAACTCTCACACGCCCAGGCTTCCTTCCACTTCACCCCACCCTCCTGAGTGGTTTTTTTTTTTATTAGAAAACACTTGAAACTTATCATGCGCAGCAGATGGGAGTAGAAAATGCAACTCGAAGACAGTTATATAAATATATCCTTGATGTCTGTTTTGCTTTTCAATTTGCATCGAGAAGTACAAAGGTAGCCGGGTGCGCCAGCCCGCCCGCCTGTGTCTCCTGATATCCTTTCCAGATGTCGGCTAGACTTCGTGGAGCCGGGCTTACAGCGCTGGGGCTGCAGCTGCCTCCTCCCACTCCAGGTGGGACGTTTCACGCTGTGTCTCCCGCGTGCTCCCTGGCGTCGTCCAAAGGTACCAACTCCCACCGCCTCTGCTGACCTCAATTTACCTTCCCCGAATCCCTCACTGCTGTCCAGGGGCCTGGAGACAGGACTACAGCCGTGCTCCTGGTGATTGCTTTGCTGGTCTGAAAGAAGGAAATGTAGAGAAGCAAACACAAAAACAGGAAAAGAAAAAAAAAGAAAAAAAAGAAAAGAAAAAGGAAGACAAGAACCCAGTGTTTGCAGAGTGCCCTCCTCGTAATGCCTCTCCATTCGAGCTCCCCATGAGGAGGGGACCGGATGACCCCGGAGGTCTGCCAAAGCGCTAATGGTGGCTGTCTGTTTGCACACGCTTGTAAAGGATTTTACACGGTAATACGTTAACTTCCTGATTAAACATTACTGTGCACAGAGGAATAGCATAAATCTCACAGGTGCCAAGTGTATTTATCTAAAAGTCCTGTCCTGTCTAGTGCCAGTAAACAAATGACAGGGACATTTATTACCATCTAGGGGACCCCAGAGGAATGCTGTTAATCCTTTGTGGCCTGTGTTTTCACCAGAGAGGTGGCTGTGTCTCTGAGGAGAGCCTAAAATGTGCCTCTCAGCCCAGGGAGGTCTCTTTCTGTTCGGCTTTTAGGGCTATGTGCAAAAATCTTGATTGGTACCAGGTATGGTGGCACATGCCTCTAATCCCAGCACATGGAAGGCTGAGGCAGGATTGCCATGAGCTCAAGGTCAGCCGAGACTACATAAAGAAATTCTGACTCAAAAAACCAAATTAAACAATAAAAACACTTGGGTGAAAGATTTTCAGGCAAAACCAAAATTGTCCCTAAGGGCAATTCAGAACATGGAAGAATGTCAAGGACCAACAGACTCTTGGAAAGTCACAGATCTGTAGGATTTCTGTGATTGGCAAAGTTTTAAAGACAGAAATGTCTGGGAAATTTCTAGGAATGATGAATCCTCAGGGTCAATTTCTCGTTGGTGTCTTTCATAAATGAAGTAAGCTCGGCATTATTAGCATGAGTGGGCTTGTTTTTTGTGTCAGCAACAGAAGACAACCCAGGGGCATTATCTTGCCTTTCTCTCTGCTTCCTCATGATGGAAAATAGCTGTCTTTGGAGAGAGCTCTGCACTGTGAATTCTGTGTGTGCATGCGTGTGTGTGTGTGTGTGTGTGTGTGTGTGTGTGTGTGTGCATGCAGAAACCCACAAAAGTACGGATGGATAACAGGGACAAAAATCAAGTCTTTGTTCATGCTTGCTTTGCTTCTTTGAAGTTTGAGTTCTCAATGTCACATGTCCATGATCTTGGAACGCATGCTGGTCCCTTGAGGGCTTGCTGGGGTGAGCTGGGTGCCCTTGGGTGCACTATTTCATTAACTGAAGTTTTAATAAACTGTATATGAAAAAATAGGGTCACCTCGATGTTTAAATAAATGGGTACCTTGGCAGGGGAGGATCTAGAGCTAGATGTGTCCTTCACACATTTCAGCATTGTAGTGCTCAGCAGAGGGGCTCTGTCTGTCTTTGATGGGGAAAGGAAAGTACCGTGTCCTAGGCTGCCCTCACCTGCATTTAGATTTATTTCCAAGTGCCGGTTTGAGGCTGAGCATTCTGGGCAGGTGTGTGGGCAGGTGTTTTGCACATTGTGGGAACAGAGCACGGAGAAGGTCAGAGGTCCCCCAGGGGGGCTGTATACTTAAAGGAGAGACACGCTGTGGACAAGAAGCTTGTACCCTCTGGCAGGCTTCTTTTGGGACTCTAGCCGCCTTGGCATGAGAGGTGGTGGTGAGGAGGATGGCTGAGGCTATCACCCTGTGTTCACAAGGAGACACTGGGTCCTCAGCTGCAGAAACAAGCTACACCACAGCCCAGCAAGGAACGATTCTGCCTTTTCCTGTGTGTTTACCTCGTTCCCAGCTCTGGTGAACACCTGCCATCCCTCCTGGAATTCCTGGGTGCTCCCTGTCTTTGTTCCTGCTGCCTGTTCTGCCCAAATCTGCTTCCTTCCTTTCTCTAGAAGGTCTGATGTTACTTCCCCTGGGGTTTCAGCTCAGCATCAACCTAAGTTCTCCTACATCCTGGGTTAGGATTGTCACCCTTGCCCTTTGCCCCTGGCCCATCGTTCTCTGGTTTGTTTCCTGTTATGTAGTGGTTTTGGAGTTCTGCTGTTTCAGTAGTCATCCAGGGCAGCCAGAAGAGCTCCCAGGGTGGAAGGAGAAGGAGAGAAGGGTGCTCCTGCCCTTTCTTGGTGATTTCCTACCTTGCCTCCAGGGCTCCTCCCTGCAACTTGGCATGAGACATGAGGGTACCACATTTTGCGTGAAGAAACAAAGTTAAAGAGATTTATTCACCTGTTTAAAATCATGCAAAACAGTGTTACAATGGAAACAAGATAAACCCAGGTGTTTTTGATTCTACAGTCATAGATCTGACCAGCTCTGTGGGAAAAAGTCAGAGCAAGGACTGCAGAGAGCAGCTGGCCAGCGGCTAGAGATGTTGGCTGAGCAGGTGGCCCCAGCGTGTGACTCCCACCTGGGACTGCACATTGGTTACAGCTGGCCATAGCTTTCGGCCAGCCGGCTTCTCACTGGGATGGGACTAAGCAAGTAGCTGTGTGTAGGAGGAGAGACAGAGTGGACAACACTTTTCCCAGTGTTCCACATAGCAAAGGCACACAGCAGGGGACTGAAATGTGATGTAGCGCCCTAGGGAACAGCTTGTTATTTGGCCTCTGTGCTAAGATGGCTGAGGAAATGCTTCTGTGGTAACAAGATTACCCTGGACTTCTCAGGGGAGAAGTGCGAGATGACTAAGAGTGATTCAAAGACATCTTTCACATAAGCTGATTCCACTTGGACCAGCCTGGCAACGGGTTGCCAGGGAAGGACATTGTACAGCAGAGAGGGATACAAGCAGCCTTTGGACGAACCATTTTAAAGGGCTGTCAACAAAACAACAACGAAGTACACAATGTAACAGTATACAAGCCACAGAGGCCAAGGGTAGCTTGTGAAGCTTAATGCTTCCCACCCAGCTCTTCCCGGGGAATGCTTGCCCGCATCTGCACTGAGGTATGAAGGACTCTGTGGTTAGCTTGGGAGGTGCTGGGAGAGTGGAATTAAGTGAAGAGCTTTATGTCAGGGTGCAGAGCAGCATTGAAACCCCCCACAGTTTTTGATCCTTTCTCCACCAACCACCTTGAGGACAAGAAGCCCAAACCTACACTGTGAGAAATACTGACCTGATAGAATCTCAGAGAGGGACCAGATAGATCAGTGTCACCAGAGGCTTGAGAGGCTCAGAGAGGACAGGAGGAGTTAGTTCCTGTGTTCTAAATCCAAGAGGGACCCTAGAGTCTGCAACAATTTATGATATATTCCAAAAGAGCTAAAAGGAAGAGCTCACAGGTTCCAAAACATAAAAATGATTAACATCAGAGAAGATGGAAGTGCTGATTATCTGATTCGAGCGTTACATGTTGCATGAAGGTGTCAATTTCTCACATTGCACCTCATAACTGTATATAGATATTATATTGTGGTTTAAAAAGCTAAAGAATTTATTAGAAAGGGATCTTCTCCCAGCGAGTTTCCAAAACAGAATTAGAGGCAGGAGCCATGATTTATGCAAATGCCAAGGCAGGTGGAATAGATTGGGACAGCACAGAGGCATCCTCATTTGTCTTGAATCATTTCTGTTTCCTACCCAGCCTTTTAATTTTGCACAGGGGTGGCAATGTCAAAAGGGGGACATTATATTAACTCTAGCAAGTGTCATGGAAATGTCGCCTTCCCCGCATCTATGCCTCGGGTTCATCCTGGGACACGAGCTGTTTGTGCAAATGAAATTCTTACCAGACCAGAGCAGAAGTCAAGCCAAGTTGAACTGTTTGTTAAGATCAAAGCCTCCAATGAGCTTCAATTAATTATTTGGTGAGAAACCCTTGAAAGGCCGGATCTGGCCAAGGTAGATGAAGGTCAGCCATACCAGCACTGGGATTGTCAGAGACTCAACTTGTGTGTATTTTGCTGATACAGATGTTTCTAGATGCCTGTCCTGGGCTGGATCTTCTCAGTGGTGTAGGATGCTCGTTCCAGTGGAGAAAGGCTTTTGCCTGAGAAGCTGGTTAATTCAGGGTGCTGGTAACTGTTTATTAGTCCTGAATATTCTTTGCAGGAAAATATAACAGATCTAACTGGACTTTGATGAGCCCATCAACAAACAGAGAAAACAGACATCTAGCATCTAATTGCAGGCCCAGCTGGCTGATTCCTGGGGCAGGAGTGGACACATCCTGTCCCTATCCTTTAGGGCTCCACATAAGAGGCACACTGGGATCGAATGTCATGGCATCATGTGGTGTTGGGAAGAGATAGTAAAGGTCGCTGTGAGCTCAGAAGGCCTACAGTGCTACCTCTGCAGCTCAGGGTGAAAAAAGGCACAGCTGGAGAGCACTGATAACGAGGGCTAAGAAGCTTGCAAGACTGCGAAGGAGGAAGAGCATTCAAGCACTGGCATCAAAAGAGGAAGGTGCAGGGAGGCGCCCAGGGCTGGGGGCTGGAGAAGGATCCTGGAGGCCACACCGATGTGGTTTTTCTATATGCTGCTGTAAAATGTTGGGGGCATTTCGAAGATTAAAAATGCATGAATGAGGTCCCAGAACCTTATTCTGTGTGTCCAGCTAATATGCATGTCCATAGTCAGACTCTGCAAGAAGTCACAGACCAAGATGGTGCTGAACTTTATGTGTGTGTGTGTGTGTGTGGGTGTGAGGCAGACAGAAAACAGAGAATCTCAATATTCACTATTTTCAGCATTCTCCACATCGTGGTGATGAAGTCAGCTATTCCCTTAAAAATTAAGAATGTGCATTTGCAAAATAACACAGATAAAGACTTGCCGATGAGATGAATGCTCGGTTCTTCCAAAGCATGCTGAGCCTTTGGGATTCCTGGGCTGAAGCCTCCATCTTGGAGTAAGAAGTGCAGAGTGGTTTCAGCTGACCCTGTGCTGTTTCCTCTTCATCAAAGTTATGTATGAGCAAAACTTATGGTGAGTGTTTGGGCTTTATAAATAGTACAGTAAGAGACCCATTGCTAAGAGCTTTCACAGTCACTTACACTTTGCTAATAAGCCCAAGAGGTCCAGTCCAGGGCTGGCAAGTAAAGTGAAGGAGGACTCAATGCCACACTTTGAATCGACAGAAAGCGCTGTAAATTCACAGTATCCAGGCAGCCACAGAGAGACCTGCAGGAAAGAGGACTGCAGAACTGCTTCAGAAAGCGGCAAGAGTAATGGGATAAGTGCGTGCAAAGTGTGTGTGTGGGAGTGTGGGGTGAATGGCATGGCATCTTTTCCTGTAATAAATTTGTTTAAAAAGAGTCACACCACCATACTACTTTTTGATCACACCTTATACTTTTTGTTTTTCCAAACCTGCTCAGCTCTTTAAAGCATGGTCATTGAAATGAGTTTGACTCCAGTGGTTTGCAAGAGTCTTATGAGGGAGTGGGTGGGCAGGAGTGACCCCACAGGGCCCAGGACACTACATGGCTCTGATTTCTGTGGGCTGGGCCTTCCACGAGCTATATTGCCTGGGGGACGTCTCTCTGCTCATGTTAGTGCCATGATCTTAAAAATCAGTGAGAAGCTGGAAATAATTGAATCTTCCCCTTTAGCTTACAAATAAGGACAGGGAGGTCTATCTGGTGCAGGAGACTAAGAAACATCTCAGTTCAGGTAAGGGCAATGCTGAGAGCTTAGAAGTGGGTCTCAGAGGTAGAGGAACTGGAACATGGAATCCTCCTGCCTCAGTCTCCCAGAGCACTGGGGTTGCAGGTGTGCCTGTTTCCTAGTTTTCCCCTGTGCCTGGCTTCATGGTTTGCAGTGGGGGTTGAGTAAGATTGGCCCAGAATCAGTAGGAGAAAAGCAGTAACGGCAGGCGCTGGATGGTGAGAAGCTCCAGGCCTGCTGGAAGGGGCCTCAGAGAGAACAGACCTGGTGATGCAGCCTGTGTCCCATCTGGGAAGCATCCCGATGAAAGTGCTTCAGGACAACCCTAGGGAACCCATGCTGCAGGGTTTGTGGCATGTGACAGATGGCGCCCTGCTCAGGAAACATACTGCGTTTGTATCATTTCCGTCCGGACCTTTCCAGAAGCCTGCTTTAAAAACTGATACTAAACAGGACAACGATCAGATGAAATTCACATGGAAGAGAGCCCTGTGTTGGTTGAGGTCGCAGAGCTTTAGCTGAGCGCTGTGCCCGTGGCCTCTCTGTTGGTGTCACTTAGAAACACCATGTTGTCAGAAGTAGCCTCTGGCCGGTTGGCGCAGTGCCCAGATGGCCTGTTAGGGAAGATAATTTGCAATGGAAAAAAAGCCTAAAATCTGTTTCAGCAATTTTTTCTTGCATCTTTATTTACTTTTTTCATACATAGGGCGATGTCTTAGAAGAGCAATGGTAGACATGATTGCTATTTTTTTTTTTGTTAGATGGAAGTTTAAGTGAGATAATACCCAGCATCTGTGAACATATTTCATAAACCATGGAGTCACTTTCCATGTATAAATGGTCAAGATGAGCATGGGGAGGATACAGAAGTCTGGAGAGAAAATGATAAAACTTGGTAATTAGAAAAAGATGCATTCTGGAAATTTCTGGCAAATGCAGATAGGAAAAGGGACCCAAAAGGCCAGTAAGTAATTCTGCCACCTAAGTGCTGAAGAGGTCAGTGGACTCCATGGTATTTTAAAGCCGCATAATAGCTCTTTTTTCTAACAGTTTTCAACTTCAGATAGGACTTTCCCAAAGGTTGTTAAGACGCTTTTAAAAATTTTATTCCTTGTGACTATCATAGTGAAAGGGCCTCTTAAAAAAAACTAAGATATTTTAAGAAAGCCAAAAGCCAAAATACTTAGAGGAAACCCTAAAATGACATCAGTAACAGGGATTTAAGCTTGACTGCTCACAAAACCACCTAGCCCCAGACTCCAAAATTCATCCCAGTGAGAGTATAAATTTTTCTCAAAAGACCTGCTGTTTGAAAGCCTGTTAGATAAGATTAACAGAAGCAGAGGTGCTCCAGGGATGGCAGCTGGACTCTGCAGAGTGGTGGGCTCCCTAGAAGCAGTGAATAGTCCACCTAGATTTGGGGGTTCAGCCAGGAGCACCACAACATCTGCTGCTCTAGTGGGCATGCATGTCTGACAACCTGATGTGTGGGACCAAGGCTTTTCGGGAACCTGTAGCTCCACAAACCTTGTCATTGAATTCTAAGCATGCAATTTGAACATATATTTTATGCAAGCTTAGTCTCTGATCCACACATCAGAATTCTCAGATAATAATGGAATGTTCTAGTTTGGAAGCCCCCAAACTTTTGGGCACCATGGAAAGATTTTGTATGAGATAAATGTTCCATGGGCCAGGGGTTGGCGGGATGATTTGAATGATCTGAAGAAGCCAATAACATATGTCCTTCCCATGGGCTGCTCATAGCACGGTTCACGCTTCTATGAGAATTTAGTGTCTGCACCATTTGATGGAGAGACGCTGTGAATACAGATGAAGCCTCACTCCTGTGGCACCTCTGACTCTGCCTTTTGTTCCTGATAGGCCACAGAACTGTAGCAGGTAGTGGCCAGGGTGTGCGGGACCCTGTCCTAGTTGATTTCCAGGGATCAGCAACTGAAGTCACCTGATCATAAACCCTAACCCCAACACCCTGACCCTCTAAATATGTTCTGGTTTATAAGGGCCAGGGGCACCTGTATTCTTTCAAGATTCTCTTTCTTTATGAAAATATTCACAAAAAGAGAATGGTGTCATTAAAATAGACTGTGAGCTTATGGTTGATCTTTCATGAATATGCACACATACAACACGTAACATGTATGTACATGTGGTTTCCTTTTCCCAGTGGCCACCAATTATCAATCTGTAGTCCCAACCACCTTGATGACTAAAATCAGGGCTTTGATGCAGACTCAAAGCTTCAGTACTTGGGATCCCTGACATCTGAGCCACACAGCCCCTGGAAGCTCTGTGGGATAGAGAAGTGGTTTCCCTTGATCAGTGGAGAATTTGATTTTCAGGAGGAAAACTGTGTTTCCATGTGGTTCAGCTCTGTGGCTGAACTGCTACAGAGCAAAGCCTTCCCACGGCTCTAGATGGAGGTGTTTTCACCTGCACAGACACACACACACAACTCTCACTGCAACCCATACACCCTTTAAGGTGACAAACTGTCATGGCTTAGAGCCTGGCTGTCTTTGCTTCCCTCAGGAAGAAGAAATCTGCCAACTTGGCTTTAATGGTCTCAGCTGTTTTGGAGTGGCAGAGTCACATTGTTAGACTCTTCCTGCAGCTGGCTTAGAAGTTGGATTCATTCAAAACCCAGCTAAACCTGGTCGGCCCCAGTTTTCCTCTCTCTCTCTCTCTCTCTCTCTCTCACTCTCTCTCTCTCTCTCTCTCTCTCTCTCTCTCTCTCTCTCTCTCACACACACACACACACACACACACACACACACAGGATATACTGACCTCTGGCCACGATCAGGGGAGGCGCTAATCCTGGAGGAAACGGTTACTGCTCTGTGCACCTTGAGCTTCCTCTCTGCAGCGTTCTCCTGCCAGATGGAAAGGGGGCCTGCACTGGGAGTGTTCTCCTCCTTACTGAGACAGTCTCACATATGCGGCTACCACAGTTTCTATTTCTGAGAATTCTGTCAGGAACCTTGACAATCAATGAGAACCATAAACACTTACTGCAGCTCATGTTCTAAAGCGCTCCCCAGGAAAGCCATGTCTGGAGGCCATGCAAGGGCTGGGCTCTGCATGTTCTTACCCAGAGAATGGCCCTAGAGCATGAGACCCAGGGGCCACCCTGGTGGCCCCTTTGTTCATCTGTATTCTTTCCAAGTCTCCACTACTGCTGACATTCAGAGTTAGAGCACAGATCTCATCCCCGTGATAAAGGATGTTGGTGGCAGTGAACTCCTTACAGCTAACCTGAGCAAAACACTCGCAGTCACTTCCAACATGGCCAAATCAGGTCATTCTTATTCCAGGAAGAAAATTACCCAAGTTCCCTGAGTCCAAGAACTCAGTTTTCTTTCTTTGCATTCAGCACACTGGAGTGAATTCACGGAGAGTTGAGAAAACAGGAATTCAAGGATAGAAAGCAAACCTTGCACCTCTGGGAGCGATGCTGGGAAAATGAAAAGAAGGGACTCTTGGGAAGAACTGAAAACCTGTTTAGCCTGCCTCATGGGCTCTCTGGAGGTGAGCCCCACAGGCTAGCTTCGCTGTGTGTCACAGCCTTGCTGTCCCCCGCCTCCTGTGGAGGAATGGTTTTGCAGGGAAGTGGAGGTGCAAATCCTTCCAGAGGCCCTGATCGAGTTGAGGCCTGAGCACAGACACAAGAGCCCTGCCGTCCTTGGGCAATGCCAGTGGGGAGGACCGCACAGGGAGCCAGAGCACAAGGTGAGGACAGGCGGTTTGCCTCAGCTTGGTGGCTGTCACCACACCTCCCAGAGCTGGTGCCCGGGATTTGGGGAAAGCTGGAAGTGCTTCTGAGTGGAGTCTGGGAAAATAGGCAGCGGTTCCCCAGGGAAGGGAAGGTGTTCCCGCCACAGGGGCTGGGGACAGGACATAGATCAGGCCCAGCCTGGCCGGGGTGACTCGGGCCAGGGTGATGCTGGCAAGTTTGTTAACAGAGCTACGTGAGGTTTCTCTGCAAATCTCATTCTTGGATTGAAAGCTTAGGTCTGGAGCACAAGCCAGAAGTGCTGGGGAGATGAGAGGCTGAGACAAAGGCCTGCCCTTTGTACTTTTCTTCTTCCTTTTCTACTGAGGGACCGGGGATGGAATCCAGGGACTTCACAGTGAGCTACACCCCAGTCCTTTTTAGTTTTTATTTACCTACTTTCTGCAGCAGAGAAGGTGAGAGGCAGTATTACAGGCCTGCTCAGAAACGGAGAATAAGATGAGAGAGATAGAGAAAAAGAGAGAGACAGAGAGACAGAGGCAGAGAGAGAGACAGAGAGACAACTGGTGTGGTGACACACTCCTATAATCCCAGCACTCTGGAAGGCTGAGGCAGGAGGATTGAAAGTTGGAGCCCAGCCCAGGTAACTAAGCAACTTTGTAACATATAAAATAAAAAAAAGCTGGGCTGTAACTCTGAGGGAAGGCCCTGGATTTGATACTCAGGACCAAAACAAACAGACAAACGCCACAAAAAGGAATGACAGGAAATCTCTCTGTCAGGACAACATCTGCACCTCTAAAATTTTCCAATGACAGACAGGTCTGGGCCAGCTGGGAAGTGGACTATCAAGGCCCGGGCCACTAGGGTGGGCAGTGGACTCTGTGGGGCAAGCACAGGCAACTGGCTCCACCCGCAGGCTATGTCTAGTGACCTCAGGGGGAGGCTGAAACAGTGAAGGACAGGGACCAGGGTCACAGAAGAGGATAGGCTGAATGAATCGGAAGAAGAGGGAACAACACACGAGCAGCAGCCCCACTTCCAATGTCTGAGGCTACAGAAAAGTGGGGAGCCCTTGGTGAAAAAAGAATCAATTTAGCCACAGGTGGTGCCATACACTGGTAATCCCAGCATGTTGGGAAGCCCGAGGCAGGAGGAGGGCAAATTCAAGTCCATCCCAGGCAATTTAGCAACTTCACAACACTCTTCCTGGGACCCTCCAACTTGCAGTCCTCCTGCCTCAGCCTACTGGCATGCTAGGCAGGCCTAAAAAAGAGGGAGCAGCTCATAACACCACTGTATCCTCCAGGGAAGGAGGAGGCTGGGTTTCTCTAGGCTCCATGAAGTCATGAGCCCCAAACATGGAAGGACAGGACTGGAAAACTGTACAGTAACTGCCTCTCACCTCCTCTGCTGCAGGAAACTCAGTAAGGAGCGTACACCCAGCTCCACTCCAATCTTATAAATTCTGCATGGCGCCAAGGCCTCAGACAGAAATTGTGCCAATTTCTTGTTTGTTCTGTGACAGCAAAACCAACCATCGCTCTGGGCACCTTCCCGGGGTGGGGGGTTGGGGGGGGGCAAAGGAGGTTGGGTGCGACCTCATTGCACACAAGCATCCACTTTCCAGATTCTGTAAATCACAACCAGAGCTGGATTTTGGAAGAACAAGGGCACGGCGGTCCCCTCGGTGGGCAGTGGGATGAGACGGAGTCCGGGGCACACCAGAGTTTAGAGCTGTGGATTACAAGCCTGACTTTCTCTTCCTTAACAAGAAGCCAGCCCTGAGTGACCGTCCTGCCAACTGATTTATCTTCTAATGATGGCAGAGCTGCTGCCTGCGACATCAGAGACTGTTTTCCCAGCTGTTTTTAAGGACGTGTTAATTTTTCCTCCATCTCCTTTCCGCTCTTCCTGCATCTGGTATTTGGGGTGGAAAGCATGGTTAAGGAGAATCATTTCTTCCAAACAGAAAGGCTTTGGAGATGAGCGTGTTTTGGGGAGAGTCAGGGAGTGATGCACAGTGTGATCACCCTCACATAAGGGCCAGACCGGGTCACCACTGCTTTGCCTAAAAGATGCCTTTAGCAGCTCCTTTTGGGTTGCGCTTCCTTATCCTCTTGAGACAGGGCCAGCTGAAGTGGTGAAGAGGCACTGCACCCCCTGTAAAGGTTCTTATCCCCGGCCCTGTTAGGCAACTGGGTCATAGCCCTGAGAGCAGAGCCCAGACTGGAAACGCCTTGTAGCTGGCCCCGGGAAAGTCGCTGTGTGCTGCCTGGTCCAGCGTGAGCCTCCCAGGGGCATCCGAGCCAGCGAAGGAGGAAGAGGGTGGACAGAGCAGAAGTGTGGGTGACATGGAGATGATGGTCAGCAGCCCAACAAGCAGGGTTTCGATGCCGTCTCCACTACCTCCCAGCTTCCAAATGAGCCACTGAGGGAACAGAGTGGCACATGCTAACTGCTCTGTGAGAGCCCTGGGGGACACAGCTGGTGCCAATCGATAGATCGTCTTTTAAGGCTGAGCGATCCTGAAGTGGCAAGGCGCAGCTCTAGTGAGCTGCAGGGGTGCGGTTGGACGTGGCTGCTGGACACCACTGCTAATGGCCTCATTGCTGCCAAGTGCTGCTGAGACTGGGACACACTGGTCTCTCTGGTCTTCACAGGCCGCTAGCCTGTGGGGCTCTTCCAGAGGGCTCTGTGAGGACAGCAACTCTTAGGGTTCAAGATTCTTTTAAAGGAGAATTCCATGTCCACACTACATAGTCTGAATAGATTTCCAAGACTATCAGAGCAAGGCTTTATGTGAACAAAGCCTGTGCTGCAGATACCAGAGCCACCCAGTAAATTGCATGAATACTAGAGCTGTCAGAGGAGGTCAAGAGGCCTGGTGCTTATATAGCAGCAGCAAACCTGTGATTGGCTCAAATATAAGCCTGTGATTGGCCCAAATATAAGGCTGTGATTGGTCCAAATTTAAGCCTGCTGATTGGTGCAAATTCAATGCCATCAGTTGGTTCAAAATCAAACCTGCTGTGGTGGGGTTCGCCCTAAGTGGGAGCGGGGCTTTCTGGACAGCACCAGCAGTGGCTGCCCACCCACACATGCTGCCTCCTGATTACTGCAGACCAAGGAACCAAGTGGAGCCATTTCTAATCTGCCTCAGCATCCAAAGGGCAGCGTGTGTGGGCTACACCTCCATCACAGATCCAAGAGTGCCATAGTCTTTTGACTGAATAAACTGGAGCGACTGGAACCTGCCTGGAAAGGGGACATGATTTTGCAAGACTCATTTCCCCCGCGATGGCCTCCCGCCTCTTAAGAGGGTGCTTCCCATGGGCCTGCCAACTGTGTTGGTAGTTCTGAGCAACGACTCCATTTCGGGGGGGGGGGGGCAGCGTCTCCTGAAAGGCTCAGCTGGCCTAGGTAACCAGTTCTAAGAACACTTAGCTGCTGCTTGAGTGCAGTGTCATGCTCATTCTGGAGAGAGGTCACATCAGTGGAGGATGCGTTTGCCTGCAAGGAGCGGGAGCTCATGAAAACTCTGGGTTTCCCTCTCCTAGATTTGAACACACTGAGCTCGGGAGCCAGGTGACCTGCAGTCGTCTCCTCAGAAGCTCTGTCACGTGGGGTTACCACGACTTCACTTGGGTGTGAGGGTAGCTCTGTGAATCCAGATCCGCAGAGCTTGGGCTGCGGTAGCATATTTCCAATTAAGAGTAGAAGGTTCCAGGTGTGAACTGCAAACTTTTTATCAATTCTCCTATGTGATGGTTTATTTTCTTGACATCAAACGAGTGATACACAGTGAATGTAGTTTTCTTCCATTTTCTCTATGGAGTTCTGGCTAACATAAAGGAAATCAATTACAATGACAATCAATTTAAGTGAGTGATGAGGACCTTATAATTTGTACCCTGCGGGCAAGTGATTTGAAAGAAGTGAAGGGTGCAAATAGCTTCGAGTCTTCAGTAATTCTTAGGAACCCTTCCAGCCCTGTCTAACACAGAGCCTACATGGGTCAGCTTCCTTCTCCTTCCTTCTTCCGGCTCAGGTTTGAGATCTGGAAAGAGGCGTGGGCTTCACCGACCCCTGGGCCACCTACCAGCCTTGCTTTGCTTGTGCCTGCTCTAAGGAGGTGCAGAGGAGAAAACATTTCACAGCAAAATCTACTCATGAAATGGATGAGGTTGCTTGCTACAGTTCAGGAGTCAGCCA